ATATATATATATATATATATATATATATAGCAAAATATAGGAAATAACGAGAAAATGTACATTATAAGTTGCGAGGCGGTGACAAAATGTGTAGTGTATAGTGAGAAAAGTGAAATATGTGCAGTTTTAATTTATCATGAGGAGTACGCTGATGATAAATGAGTAATTATTAATAAATTACTGTATTTTATAATGCCAACTTTATGGAAACTCCCGCGCGCACCTTCGTACTTTCACCTTCTGATCTCGTCTCCTTCCTATATACATCGTGAGATGATAAAATACATCTCATCCGAACGTGATTTTCGATCACGTGTCGATTTGTGACACTTGACTCTGAACGGATTCGCACGATGAGGTGCGCATTTTTGCCCTAACGAGTGCTGCACTCTAACGAAGAACATGTGAATTCCAACGATATCAAGTCTTGAACTCAGCTGGTAAAACGTCTGGGGTTTAAATATCTCGTCTCGAAATATCTAAATCGAATATGTAGATATTTGTACATTACGTATTGATTGAAAAATCTTGTATTACTTTAATATTGATTATAAAAGTTAATAATTTTGTATTAATTTATAATATTGTATTTATTATTTATATATAATATATATTAATTCTTTATTGTTTAAATTTGATATATTTGATATATTTGTTTAAATTTGATTTGATTGTATAACAACTTCTTTTATTTAACTTTTCTTCTTTATTTAACTTATATACACAAATACATGAAAAAGTTATCGGATAAAAATAGCATCAAACATAGCCGATGCGCGATGCCTGTTACGTCTGAATACGTTGTGCTGAATTTAAAAATAGACCTGTATTAATAATCATTCCTTGAAATTTTTCTCACGTGAGACATTCGGATTTGAATTCGGGTCTCAATTTTTCAGTTGAATCACATGATATATACGTCATCATTATACTTGCAATCGCGATTCTACTAAAAAAATATGTACCTAATTCTAAGCACGAGTTTGAGTATCTCGCTTGAGACGAGTTTCAAGTAACGACTATTAATACGATTCAATTGGTATCCCCTGCAGGAAAATATCACTGGCTGTGATAAATTGGCCAGTGATAAATTATTGTTGTTTAACGGTTTTATTACTTGCGCGAGCAATGAAACTACTATTTATCAATGGCCAATTTATTACAGTCAATAATACTTTCCTGTAAGGGATTGGAAAACTTTGAGGAGCGTACATATCACGTAATGTCCTAAATACCCCTGATTACTCGACACATCGAGGCGGAAAATGCTCGTGGACGGCATAATTTTAGCCTGTTTTATTCGCGACATTCTGCGGGATCCCTCTTCGTTCACAGTCCCTGCGCAAGAAACGGATCTCCGTCGCTCCGAATGAATTCGAGACATTTTTCGCATACCCCACCGCCGGAAATCTCCGATGAAACGCATCCGCCTAGGGTGAGGCGAGCATATCTGAGCCAAAGAATTTTTCCGCAATAAGGTGCAATGCGGAGACTAGGTCCCTAGAGAAAAAGAGAAATAGAGAGAGGAAAGAGAACGACCACTCGTTCGAAACTGAGCGCTCGTGCGCCTCGAAGAGAATATATTCATTTCGACTTTATTAGATTCTGAAGATCCCCCGGCCTCGTGCCCGCGAGAATTCCAAATATCTTCGGCCGTCGCCTTGACACGAAAGTCCCGATGCCACGTGCACGAAGTGAATCGCAAATATGTATAATATATTTATACATACAAGAAAAAAATATTTTACCAATGTAACATGGCGCGTGTCGCATATTCGACGAGAGGACGGAGCTCCGAAATCGAATATTAATATGTGTCGACTGCTATCGCGCGATACTTTTGCACGAAGGCAGCCACTATCGTATGACGACACGCACCTACACACACACACGTGAGCGGCGAGCACGCCTGCGCGAGAAAACCGCGCCGACGAAGCCGCTCTCTCTCGAAGCCGGTGTGCGCTTCCGATTTTCGCGTCTCAGTCGCCGATGAGTAAGCAACGCGTGAACCACCGGCGCCCTTGCCCTTGCCCGCGCTCCTCGGAGGTGTCGTCCGTCGCGAATTCGCACGCGAGCGGGATGAGAGCGCGGAAATTCGCCACTTTAAGTCCCGGCGCTTCCTAGAGACTTCAACGTCGTGGCCGCGCGATCATGCATCGAGCGCGGTAAGCGGACACGTGTTCGTACCTGCGGCGGAAGAATTCGCGAAGATCGGCGAGTCGGATGAGGGGAAACCGGCAATCACCTTCGTACGATCGTCCTCTGCTTTCGTGCGTGCGCCTTTTATTTTACGCGTTGACGATCCCGAGCCTGAATTAGAACCGGAGAACGTGAGACGTGGTGGACGTCGCGAGGGGGAACAACAGCCGTCTCGAACGATCTTTAATTTAGAATTAATCAAAAACCGGGAAGAGAGAAAGGGAGACGAGGCCCGTAAAAGAGAAATTGGCGATTAGTGCGAAATAATTAAATTATATAGGAGTACAATAATATTTAACGTTTGACAAGTGTGTGATAACGCATGTGCGTTTCATAATCGAGAAGATTAAGATAGGAGACGCTAAATGGACGAAACCGAATCAGCTTCTGCCCTCGGAGGAATGACCCGTCGCGAATGACAGGTAGAGCTCGAAGCGGGCTGCGGGTCGCGACGGACGATAATGAGAGAAGAACAATCGTGAGGGACTTTGCTCACGCGTGTGTGCGTGCGCGCGCGGGAGAGTCTAATTTCGTGTTGCCGTCGTCGTGAGCCCATCGAGGACGCGAGCAGTTCCAGCGGCCTGATAATTGCGAGAAGTCGAGTCGCGCGCGCGGACCTCTCGCGAGAAGCTTTCGCGCGAGTTCGTCGAGATTTTCGCGGCGGTCCTTCGGGGCGAAATTTGAGCGTCGCGCAACGGCGGAAGAAATTACCGGCTCTCGGCCGGCTCTTCAACAGGTGGCCGAAATCGATCTCGCACGTGTGCCGGAGCGTACGTGATCGCTTTTCAGCACGCTTTTCAGCACGCTGTCCGCCACGTTCCTCTTCGCTTTTTAATATCGACTTGTCGACGGAGCAGCTTCCGGTAGGCAGCGTGCACACGTGTCGCCCGGCCGGCCTAAAAGGAGCGGACATGTCCGTGAAAAAGGGAGGCCGCTGCTTTACGAGTCCGGCGGGACCGTCGAAACATCCGCGGGATACACGGCTCTCTTCTTCCGTGATGGATTTTGTGCGTGCGAGGGAGGTTTTACGCGCGTAGCGGCGCAAATCTGCAACGACGGATCGTCTCGTTCGCGCACGATCATCTGTCGTTGGAAACAGCTTCGGCTTGAATCAAATGACACAAATAGGATTTCGTTGAATTACCAACGTTACTTCAAGTTTAGATCGGATGATAGATGACGTATTACTAAGCGGATCATCATTTCATATTCGAAGTATCACGCTTTCTTTCTCTCTCTCTCTCTCTCTTTTTCCCTCTCCGATTCACGTGGACTCGATCGTTCGATAATATTCACGTCGCTAACGCGAGCGCTCTTTTTTTAACGAACGCAGCGATCTCGTCCCGTAAACATTCGATAATTGTTTCCCGATAATCACGGTTGCTGTGATCGTTGAATACCAGCCGCGTGAAGGCCGCCACGTCGATCCGTCGACGTCGAACTGCAGCGGCCAGCACGACGCGCCTCTATTAATTTGCATCGCGCGGCTGATGAGTGGAAGACCGTTTCCACCCTGTAATTTACAATCCTCTCTCGACTGTGAATAAATTTACACGCGGGAGAACGGAAGTCGGCCAGGTTATTAAAAAGCGAGCGCCCGCCAGCAATACCGCCCCCCTCCCCCTCTCGTGTCGCTTTTCACCGCCGCTATTATTCAATGAGAAAAACGAAAGAAACGAGGAGCAGGAGAAACGAGGGACCGAATGAAAACTCCATTGTCGGAAAACGCGTCCCCATTTCTGCTGAAGTTCTCCTTCGGAAAGAAAGAGAGAGAGAGAGAAAGAAAGAAAGACGACCTTGAGGAAGGAGCGGCGGATTCCGTCGTGCTTTTTAAATAGCCCCTCCGTCCTTTTCTCGTCCCGCGAAGTGTGCGCGCCGCCTCTATTAATGACCGCTAAACTTTCCGAATGTTTGTTCCGTGGCTCAACGACAGCGGCACCGCCTGCGAAGTTTGCCGACAATTTCGCCCACGCCGAATACCGGGAGCGCCGGTCTCAATCGGCCCGCTCCTAATTGCTCTCCCGTGTCGGCCCGCCGTCTCTCCCCCTCGCTGAAACGAAAATTCTCGCGGCGGTATGTTAATAGTCTAATTACCGTCGGGATAATTCAGCGCGATTTTCGACGACGATCGCAGTGTCCGAGGTTTTACGGTGGAGATCGGCGACCTCGGGAGTGAGATCGGACGCACGCGATGACTCCTCGATGAAGTAACCCCCGGCCTCGTGCAAGATTACCCCTATTAGTCACTTTACTCACTGCCAGCTCGCGTATTAATGAACGAGAAGGATATTACTGTCACCGCCAGCGAGAAAGAGAGAGAGAGAGAGAGACCCCTCGTCGGAGTTTCCGATCGTCGCTATTTGCTTTTCCAACGTGAAACTTCGATCTTATATACCGTGAGTGCGCAAAGAGGACACGCCGGGTTCCTCGGGGATACCGTTTAATTGAACGCAAATAAAAGAACGGGATTCTGCGTTCACCCGAGACCCCGATCGCCGTCCACCACTCGGGGACGCAATTCGAGAATAGTCGAGTGAACTTCGTGCGAAAACTCGCACACGATGACAAGCGCATGATCGGGCCGCGACGGGATTGACTCTCTTCGTTCGAGCGAGGCCGAGGAAGCATCCACGACGACTAGCACGGTGCCGAAAATATTTCGAGGACGGGAACGCGAGCTAAAAGCGCCGCGTCCAGCGGAACCGGCCGGCGCGACGATACCGCGGGAACTCGCGCTAATCTGCTTATCTCAGGCTATAACTCGCTTATCTATCAGAACCCCGTCGTCGCTTAAGCTCTCGGCCGCCGGGGATCGTACAGTGTCTGCATAAGCGAGCGTAAAGGGCGAGCTCTCCGGCGCGAGACGCGCGACGTTCGGTGACTTCGCTCAACTCGCAAACTCGGAACTTCCGGGTATGAGCCCGCCGACTGCCATTATCGTATCGGCCGCTGCTCTTCGCCGCTCCCTCGCCCCGAACTCGCCGTGCCCGTCCACGAGGATACCATCCACGTCAGCGCTTTGACGCATGATCGACTCCCGACGACGAGGACGAAGTCGTGGGAACGAGGCGGTTGAGCAGGACGGTGGTGTGAAACGCGCGTGAGGCCGTTGAGAGAGAGAGAGAGAGAGGGAAAGGCCGACGACGCACCTGTCAAGATGCACCATGGCTAACTACACGACGCAGACGTCGGTGCTCGCCGACGAGCCGGAGAACTCGTCGTCGCGCAGCTCCAACTACCTGGAGGATGTGACGTCGAACCTCGTGGTGCAGATAGTGTTTTGCCTGTTCTACGCCAATATCTTCGTGCTGGGGATCTTCGGTAACGTGCTGGTGTGCTTCGTGGTGGCGCGTAATCGCCAAATGCACACCGTCACCAATTTCTTCATCACGAATCTCGCGCTGAGCGACGTGCTGCTGTGCGTGCTGGCCGTGCCTTTCACACCGCTTTACACCTTCCTAGGCCGCTGGGTGTTCGGCAACACCCTCTGCCACCTGGTGCCCTACGCCCAAGGCGTCAGCGTGTACATCAGCACGCTCACGCTAACCAGCATAGCGGTCGACCGCTTCTTAGTCATCATCTACCCGTTCCACCCGCGCATGAAGATCGAGATGTGCGCGGCGATCATCCTGGGTATCTGGGTGGCCGCGTTGCTGGTCACCCTGCCGTACGGTATGTACATGCAGCTCGAAGAGCCGCACACCTATTGCGAGGAGCACTGGCCGAGCGAGCCGTTCCGCAAGGTCTTCAGCTCGGTCACCTCGATACTGCAGTTCGTCGTGCCGTTCTTCGTAATCGCCTTCTGCTACGTGTGCGTGTCGATCAAGCTGAACGACCGGGCGCGCACCAAGCCCGGCAGCAAGAGCAGCAAGCGCGAGGAGGCGGACCGCGAGCGGAAACGCCGCACCAACCGGATGCTGATCGCGATGGTCGCGATATTCGGCATCTCGTGGCTGCCGCTCAACATCATCAACGTCGTCGAGGACTTCTACTCGCCCGCCAACGACTGGTCTTATTACCGGCTCTGCTTCTTCATGACGCACTGCCTCGCCATGAGCAGCACCTGCTACAATCCGTTCCTCTACGCGTGGCTCAACGACAACTTCCGCAAGGAATTCAAGCAGGTATGTATGACGATGCGTCTGCTGTTGCCCGCGTGCGTGCCTGCGTGTGTCTGCGCGATCGTGCCGGCGAGAGAGATCATATTTAGCCCATCTGGCTTTCGTCCACGTTATATTGTTATTTTGAACGTGAGAGCAGAGGCACAACTGCCGTGGAACTTGCCCAAGTTGCTCGGATAGACTGTCGGTTCTACTGCTTCCTTTTCATTATCAAAGTATACACGAGAATAAGCAGATTATTCTTGTTATGTTCGGAGAGGATCCGTACGCGAGATATAGCGCGGCTCGCGTCTCAAATCCGGTTTCGCAAGATCGTATAAAGAAAAAGAGAGAGAGAGAGAGGGGAGAGGGGGAGAAGAAAGAGAAAGATATGTTAAAAATACTTCTTCATAGTGGAGTCGCGAAAATAAATATAATGTTTTCAAAGCACTTTACCATCTTCTTTTTCGGGTCTGTTTGAGTAAAAGTTTGCGCGAAAAGCGTTGGCCGTTTTTCTATAAAGAATAAGGGAAAGGGTGGTAAGATGACGATCTGAAGATTTGTCGAATTTTCCTCCCTCTCGTAGTAGCGTAAAAATAATAATCAAGTTTTTTCTGAGTAATTAAAGCCTTACCTATCATCTACGGAGATTGCAAAATTTATAAATAAATTAGAATCTTGTTTAATTAAAATTGTTTGAAAACGTGTCAATTTTATCGTCTTGTTCTCACATGTCGGTAAGATGACAAAGGTTAAACTTTTTTTATGCATACAAAACATAACTTTCACGAATTTTTTGTATTATTTTATTATTGTAATATTTTGCTATTATATAATTTTTGTTATTATATTATTATTTTGTTATTATGTCTGTACAACACATAAAATACAAGAGTTAAATAAAATACAAATAAAGATATTATTTATGAATAAAAAATATCTCATTTGTGACAATATAACTGAAAGAAAATAACATCTAAGCAAGAACAAAAATAAAATTATTTATAATTATATAACTTTAAATAAAATATACGAATATCATCTTACTCGCACATGATATTTACATATGATATATCTTATCCCATAATCACTACATTTATTTATTCAATTGAAGAAGATACTGTAATATGAGAAATTAAAAAAACAATAATACGTTATCATATACATTTTTAGATATACTATACAGTATTATAAAGAGAAAGAATGAAAATATTTACTATAATTGTCTAATTCTGTATAAAGAAATACCACAAAATATTATATATATATTCAAAAAATATATCTCATATATTACCTATTATTGTTAGAGAATTGATGTCAAACTACAACAGATTATTTATGATTATCAAGAGTCCCTAATAAGTTGGACTCGTTATTTGTTAGCTTAGGAAACTCGCTTGGGAATATCGATATATACGAATATAATTCATCGGGCTCTGCACTTTGCAATGCAGTCGATACGAGTCGCGCGACGGTGCGCTTTAAGTAATTGGGACAAGACTATTTGAATAGAAATTACCGGAATTATCGAAGCAGCGAGAATTTAACGTGTTTAGCGACATTCCTGTCACTGTGTGCGCTGCATGTGTGTGTGCGTGTGTACACGTTGAAGGAAGAGCTAAGTTCTAAGGTTCTATCGTGTACCTGAATTAACACACGCGTCCATTTCTTCCCTCTTCCGCCTTTCTTGCGAATTGCGCTTATATTAACGTCAGCTAAAAGCGCGACAAGGCGGCGGAGCGCGAACGCGCAAACATCTCACGCCGTAACTTGCTGTAAGAGCGACTTCGTTGATCCGAGACGCGGGTGGTGTAGACGGGGCAAGAATTTACGGATGAAGAGTTGGCAGACGAGACTCTTTACTCCGAGACTCCCGAGAAGATTCGAATTGTTCTTGTCACCGCGAAGATTCACGAGATGAAAGATCTACGCGGAACTGGCGGTGTTTTCCGGAAGGCTTTCTGCCTTCCTTTACAATGTGTGATTATGGTATGATTATCGTTACCGGTGCCGTTCGATATATCCGGTATTCCGGTGACACCGACGAGTCTGTTTTCAAGGAAAGGCTGCGTTTATGCACAGGGAATGTCGCGAAATGTACGAAAGGGTTGGTTCCCGCACGTCGTGCCTCCTCCGCGAAGTTTGATTAATCTTCGCTCAAGCGGCGTGCGAATTATTTTTTAATCACCCCGCCTACGATTCGCCGACGCCCTTTCATCAATCTTCAACCTCGAGTTCCGTGAATAATAAAACGCGCTCGACGGCGTACGTCTGTCCCATAATGATTCTAGGGGCGCTTCTCCCGTAAACTGCAATTACAGGATCGATTATTAATTTCGCCGTGACGTAAAATTCATTTAAAGGCGCCGCCACTGAGAGGCGTAAACGAGACCGTACAAAGTCAAACATCGCTCGATTGGATGCATATTGGCCGGACGAGACGAGAGGGATTACGTCTTTCCATAGATATGATAAATGCACTGATAAATGCACTGATTTCGGGAACATTTCGGGATTTCAACGAAAAAGGGTTTCCTATCGTTGTAAATAATTGCGAAAATGTGGCGTGCGCGTTTATTTAATTTCAGACTTGGAAAGTAACGCGTTTCACTTGTACCGCCGTTTCAAAAGTTACCTTTTTTTCACTACCGACTCGGTAACGACGTTATATTTTTCTTTCTCAATAAAGATAACGGCTATGCAATAACTTTTGTGTAACTAACGAATATAATCATTACTTTCATCGTAATTTTGTAACGCGTAGATTACGCCCATATGGGCGGCGGCGAATCGTAAAAGAAAGGTCATCAGAACTCGTTGAAAAAAAAAAAGAAAAGTAACAGAATATGTAACAACTCGTTACTTTTTGAATAACGATAATGACGATAAGCTACTTACTCCAGTGTGGGTAATGGGTATAACGGCGAGTTACTTGTATAAAAAGAGCTTTCCCAACCTGAATTTAATGTATAAAGTTTCCGTTCGAATGTAAAAACTCTTCGCTGATCTCTCTCTCTCTCTCTCTGCTAATTTCTTGGTACGATTATATCAACATGATAAAACTCTTGAAATTCCGCGTTACTGATCGCTGACCCGCTGATATTTGCGTAGATTCTGCCGTGCTTCTCGAGAGATCCCGACGGCAGCACCCCGAGGAACAGAGAGGGCTGCAGGAGCGAGCGGATGTGTAACGGTAATAATACCATGCAAGAGACCCTGCTGCCCAGCAACACGACGAAAGCCCAAAATCCCGAGGGATGCGAGATGATCATACTGGAGGCAACGGCGAACGTTCCGAAAGAACAGGATCAACCCTCGGGCTCCTCCAAGGATTTCGACGACGCGGCGCTGTGAGAGAAAGAGAGGAAGGTACGTGTCCGAGACGCAGGTACGTCTTCTTATGCAGCACGGAGATTATTTACGTTAATGCGAGACGTGTCAGAACGTCAGAATGCTAACCAATGCGCGATGGAGCACACGAGAGGGATAACTCAATAACGCGATTTGGCGGGATCTACACGGGCGGCAACAAATCGTAAATAAGGGATCTCGAAAACTCGGCGAAGAAGATAAAGGGGAATGTAAGGACTCTCGTTACTTCGTGAGCAACGGCCACGGTAACGAATTATTCTCTGAAAGGGATAACGCTAGAAGCAACGAGCTATTTTCTTTCATGTCCCGCGAGTAACGTGTCACCCGTTAACCGAAAGTAACTTTTCTAACCTAGCGTTTGAATCCTTTTTATTCGCGCGTAATACGTCATATGCGCCGTGTGTACCTAAAATGATTGTAGCTCATAGAGCACACCTTATCCGATGGACATCATGTGGACGTCCGTAGGACGTAAGGAAGTCCTCTGAACGTGTTTACGACGTCTCTTGGATGTCTGTGCTGTGTATGGGAAGGACAAGTTGCCAGAATCATAGGTATTTCAGATATTTTTCATATGTTTATATCACACGCACATAAAACGTAATACAATTCGTTCAAGCTTCGGTTATGTTTCTCATCGCTCATTTATTTTATATATTTATCACCGGATTTATATTACATTACTATGAAAAAAAACATGATGAGGTATACAATTTAAGTGACTTATTATTAAATCTAACAGAGAGAAAAGTGTTCTTTCGTTTATCCTGATATTTCCTCCGCGGCGTAGCTCACGCATGAAACTTCCCTCAGGATCTTCCGCCCGCACTCGTTCCATTCTGCGCGCGGTACCGCATAAAATTCCTTCATGAATTACCCCGCCAAATGGAGTCGTCGGGGCGCCCGCCCTTTGAACCACTCTTGGGACATCTCGCTTACGTAAGAAATTCGATTTTTCCGTATCTCTTTCACTCTCTCTCTCTCTCTCTCTCTCTCTTGTTCTCCGGCCGAGGTATACGTTGATTCCGCAAATGTTCACCTCCGCAATTTTTCCATTTCTCCTCGTAAGTGGCTCTTTGTGAGAATCTCAGTGTAACGACAAACGCCAACGTAATGCACGTACTCGCGCGAATGCGCGCAGAGGCATGTTCAAACGTAATAAAGAAAGGAATCCGCTTGCGCTTTGCGAAATCTGCGAGAGAAGAGTGCGAAAAGTCGTTTGAATGCGCGCGCGGTTTCCATCTTCCCGCGGTGCCGGGATAGCGGAGCGGAACAGAAAGAGATTTGGAATGCCGCTCGTGTTTCTTTCGCGGCGGGCGAACATTTTTCCACGAGAGCGCAATTGTCGAGAATTCTGTCCGTCAGCTAGCCAGCCAGCCAAATGCCAGTGTCGTCGTCGTCGAGGTTGTCGTCGTCGATATCGTCGTCACATCGTCATTTTAGTCCTTTTGCGCGCGCTCTTCGCGTTGATGCTCTGAAAAAGCACGCTCGCCAAACGGATAGATCGATTTACGTAACGACTCCACGACGCTGGAAGTTACGCTCTCATTCCCGGTCTTGCCGGGAGACACCATGTCGGATGAAGCGGTCGCGGGATGTCGAGATGAAATTGCTATCTCGATATCGTCATTCGTTTGCGCGAGACCGACGAGAATGGGAGAAAGAGAGAGAGAGAGAGAGAGAGAGAAACTTCCGCCGCCACGAGATTGATCGTTTATTTTTTGTGAATGCATATTTCATTACGTCGTCGTCGTCGTCCTCGCCGTCGTGGTGTAGTGGAGATTATCCGAAATGTCTCTCCTTCGACGAGACATCCCGAAAAGTTGCCTCTCCCGAGATTCTTGTTTTTTTGCGCTCGCCATCCGCATTATATATTAATACAGAGAGCTCCGATCGTAACGCAGCACGAATGTCCCCCTCGAAAATACGACCGCACGTAGATCGTCGGCTTGTCACGACGAGGGTGGCGCGCAAGCAAGACAGCGGGCGGGAATAAAAAGTTTTTCGGGAGAATTTTACCGTCGTGACGTGGCGTTCCAACATTGGCGTGGACGTTGTTCTACGATCTGGTCGAGTGACATTTCGTCGGACGAGAAAGAAGAGAAATGGAGACGGGGCGAGAGAGGGTGAGAGGGAAAGAGACTGATAAGTTGAACGGCGAAAACGGAAACGATGCGACACGGGCCGAAAGTTGGAAACTTCGCGAGTGCAAAGGTGGGGATCGACTTATCGTCGTCGTCGCTCGTCTCTCCCTCCCGGAGGACTTTCATATATTGAATCTCGAAGCACTCCCGACAGTTCTCACCGCGTTCAGCTGGGCTCGCTCTTGTTTAAAAGCCGAGTGCAAGTTAAACTTCACCGAACGGATGAAGCGCCCTGGCGATATTGAATCGTCTTTTTATATGGAGTCCCGATGCGAAATTGCCTATGCAGTATCCCATCGCACGTCGTCGCCGTCGTTGTACGATATCGTTGTTGCGCGAATACATCGAGCTCACGCTCGATTTCGCTCGATTTCGTCGCGAATCGTCCGAGCAGAAAACACGCAAGATAACGCGAGCCGCCGGTGCTCGCGTCGATGAGAAAAAGTTTGCAACGTATCTTTTTTTTTTTCTGGTAAATTTCGCAACGCATCCCGTGTTCCAATATGGGAGAATTTTATTTAATAATTTTCACAGAAGATAAATTTTCCCGCTTTAACAGCGCGGATATATTCTAAAGTTCATCGAGGTGAGAGGCATTGCGAACTTTCTGTCATTGACCGCACGTGAGAAGAATCGCGATTCGTGTGTATAATTCATCCATCACGGCGCGGATAAATGGTGCAGTGCGACGAGATACAATTCGCGAACACGAGCTGCGTCGTCGCTAAGGCGGACAGAACGGTGACATTTAGGAATGTATCTAGAAGATAAATTGTGAATGTATTTGCATATATCAGAAGTTGAGTGGTAAGAAGTTGTAATACAAATATATGGAACAGCAATATTTCTGGTGGTTGAACATTCGACCAAAATCGACACTGACGTCTTTCACGCAAAACTGTGTTTCATATCCATTAGATATATTCACAATTTCGAGAAACAATTTTTAGATATTCCAATACGCGAGATTATATTTACAGACGTTGAAAGCAACGCACAAATGTGAAAATTGAAAAGGATTCAGGAATATTATTAAATTTCTGCCATTTTCGTAATCTCTAATTTCGTTGCGTTAATATGTGAACACTTTTTATCAATATAATCCTGAACAGAACAGTTTTCACATATGGTTAAAATAACATTTTCTTTCGATTTCCTGGAAATTCCGCGTCCATCCTGCATCCGTTCGCAATCGTTATTTTCTCACTTTAATCTGTCACGTACCATCCGCATTGTTATGTAATAAAGAAATTGCGAGGTTTTGTCCACAAACACTTAAGCATTTAGGCATTACGATGTGCGTCATCTCGTTTCGCACGCCTCGGAAATATTCAATTATCCGCGGTCCGCGATACGTGATACGGACAATTGATTATCGTCGGATTGAACGCTACTTCGTATGCCGGACACTCGAAGAATGTAGGTTTCGCGGGGCGTGCCGGTTCGCCGTCGATTGTCGTCGACTTCCAGCGATTTCAACGGTATTCGATCCGCCCTAATAAACTGCCATTATCGAACGTGGAACGCGGCCGTCGAGCAGACTGAGAGGATGCAGTAACTTCCCAATGAAGCCTGACGGTTTTATCAGTGGAGTTTTTGCTAAGGGGGGATTCCCACTAATGTCTTTTGAATACATCAGCGATTGTCGAAGGGAGAAATTTTCTATTGGCGTAAAATTGCGTTAAACAATAAACGTTTGGCGAGAGAGAATGAAAGAAAGAGAGAAAAAGAGAGAGAGAGAGAAAGAGAGAGAGAGAAAGAAAGAGAGAGAGAGAGAAAGAGAAAGCGCCGTATTCGCTATTTAATTCACAAGCAACACGACCGACTAAAATCCGCGAAGTGAGCTTCCGTTTGTATCGAAATTATTTAATAACAAGATGTAAGTACTGTTGAAAGCTAAATTGCCTTTGAGAGATAAAGCAATCCTGAAGTTTCATCCTTTGAATAAACTGATGTTGTAATTAACGATTCCTGATCGCACTGTGTGCAGTCAGAATAACAAAACTTTTTATCGCGAGTTTCCCGGGAATTCTTTCGAATTTCGTTAGCTCGTAGTTGTTTTCTTTCTTTTTAGTTCTTCTAATCCGTCAAACCACTCAACGTCCATTAAAATTCGACATCTCGGAACAAAACTACGTTTTTTTCTTTCTCTCTCTCTCCTCTTTACCTATAAAACTTATCCGCCTGTAATGGCATTACACTGTGTATAAATGTGTATTAATTTTTATTACAAATGTCGTGTGTGAACGAACGTTCGCGTTGCCGCGGCGTCCCGCAAATCAGCCGATGAAATTTATTTATGTCATCGCGTTAACGAACCGGCGAATTTTCTCCCGAAGAGCTACGCATGACCGAGAGTTTAATTATCAGCGGTAGAAAATACAGCGAGAGAGAGAGGGAGAGAGAGAAAGCGATCCTCGCAGTCCAAAAAATGCATGCCGAAACCAGATTTTACTCTCGGCAAAGAACCGACAATGAAATCAATTTCCTGAATTGATCGGATGAGGGTGTGATTGCGCGGTCGATCGGCCCTCTCTGTCTCTCTCCATCTCGCTCGCTCTCGCTGTCGCGTTAGAGTTCGCTCATCCGAGCTGTCAACAGGCCAAATCAACGTAATAACAAATGTTGCATTAGGGCGGGCATTCGACCGAGGCTAGAAATCATCGTAATCTCGCTAATTAGAACATTTAACCGAAATTACTGAATCATCACATGCGCGCGACCCGTGGATTATAACGCCTGTGCGCGGTGCAACGGCGGTGGGGGGAATCGATGATAAGCCTTGTGTTTGTAATTCGGAATTTGACAATCGCGACCGTGAAAGACACGGATCCTTATTAGCGCGCGACGACGCTGACAGCGACACGCGTCC